CTTTTTTTTTTTTTTTTTTTGTCTTTTTTGATACAGGGTCTCCCAGCAGCCCCAGCTGACCTGGAACTCACTTTGTAGACCAGGCGGGCCTTGAACTCACAGAGATCTGCCTGCCTCTGCCTTCCAAGTGCTGGGATTAAAGGCATTTGCCACCACGCCTGGCGAGCAGTCTTTCTTACTGTATCTAAAACAGTAAATCAATAACAAAAGTTTTACTCTGTAGCCCAGGCTGGCCTGGAACTGGTGGCAGCCCTCCTAGCTCAGCTGGTATTATAGACATCAGTCACCACACCCAGTCCACATTGCTTTTTGAATGTCAATGCAAGCTTTAAAGCTGAGCTTCGTAGTACATTCTTAAAAGAGGCCCCAGTATAGGAAAATCAGATAACCCACATTCAACAGTAGTACTTACTTGGTTAAGCTCTATTGTATGCACGGATGCTGTGCTTTTCAACAATCTCCCATCAAACATGTAGGGTTAATTTAAACAACCATGTTGCAATTTCTTTTTCTTTTTTTAAAAAATAATTTATTGAGAATTTCAAACATGCATATAAAATGTTTTGATCAAATCCATGCCCACTCCCTCCCCTCCAACTCCTCCCATATCTCCCCATCACTTTTTTCTGATAACTTCGTGTACTCTTTCTTCTTTGATTGATTGATTTTTATGGGGCTTTTGGCTACTCTAATATTCCCCCCTCTGAAGAGGTAACCCTAAAATCTTTCAAGAATTAAATAAGAACTCCCAAATATTTTCAACATTTTTGGCCTTTGGAACAGAGTACGTTGCTAAGAGGCCCAAGGACATTTTGACTTTTAGCCAAGAAACTGGCTACTTTTCTTTGGGGTCTTTTTACCCTAACTGCCTAGCCAATTCCTACCTCCTATTCTTATCAAACCATCCTCTGAAGAGGTTACCCAACTTGAAGATAGGGAATCTGAGACCACTCTGGCTTCTTCCATGCTGAACAGGGACACAGGGTGAGGCAATCAGAGTACCCTTTCAGTGGGTCTATCTAAAAGATGCCCAAATTACATAATTCTTGTCTGTAGGGAGAAAAGAAAGTCCTTGACTGGTGAATAGGAGATGTGAAGGAGAAGGAAAGGCAAGAGTAATTACCATTACAAGTTCTAGACAGGGAACTAGAAAAAAGTCAGAACAGGGCAAATTTCAAATGTTCATATGAGAGTCCATTGGAATTTCTTGATGAGAGTTTCCAGAAGCATCCCTCTATTGGGTTCCTCCTCATTTTTCGTCTGCCAAGGCTGGACTCAAGCATGATTGACTCAGGATTTGTTTTCAGGCTCGCTGATAGCTGTTGGAGTGATTAGAATCAGTGTTAGTTCCCTCTCAAAGACTTCTAGATGGGAGGTGGGGTACAAATTTGGCCATCATTTTAGAACAATAGCTGGTTGTCTCCCTTAGCTACAGGTGGGCACTACAGTATTGCAGACCAAGATTTGAAGTCTTACATCTGAGCAGCGTTTCC